CATTCGAAACATGATGTTTCCTAGCCTGATGTTTTCTGTAATTGATTACCGCTTTTCTGCCAAGTAATTTGAAAGGTTTTTCGTCATTTAAAGTAGAACACAAAATGCTACTCGTCTTAAGTGATAGTCAGGGCGAGGAAAGTCCTGAAACAACGGTTCTCAGTTAAGGAGAATGAAACTTCGACAAGCTGAGCAAAATTCATCATTGACGTAAACCTTGGCACAACATCAAACTAACGTCTGCCAATTGGGTCCTGCTGACGAGTTCCAGAAACGATACCTACAACATTTCCACACATGGGAAGTATAAATATTTGTTTGACTTACCAAGGGTAACTATCTCATACAGAACGATTCCATAAGACCACCTGAAAAAATTTCGAAAAAGTATTACCGAGATATTCTCTAAGCGAGCATGTAAAGACAAAAACCAAAGAGATGACCAGCTCAGTGCAAAAATATACATACACGTCACTCAAGGTGGAAAGTCCAGCGAAATTTCCCAACAAAATCTCTGGTGCAGTCCATTTTATTGGCAAACGGCCCTGCAACGACAGTTTGTTTAAAAATAAGTGTTTTAATACTGGTGAGCTAACAGAGGACATGCATGTAAACGTGAGGTTGTTGATGCAGCTCTTCCGAGACTTTATGGAGTGTCAAAATTTAGCAAATGTCATAAATTTAGATGATAAAGTCAACTACCTCAATTGTATTCTGTGGCATGGCAGAACGTGGAACTATCCTCAGTTAGCAGTCAAGGTGAATTTTAAGCAGAGTTAGGGCTAACCTTAGGAATCTGTTTGCAAGTGCCACTGCAAAAAAGATAAAGCAAAGACGATCTTCTACCTTTTTGGCATTTCCATGACCATATTTAAAGCTTTGATATGCCATGCCAAAGTCGGTCACTTTGCACACATAGTTGTTATCAAGGAGGACGTTTCGAGCTGCCAGGTCACGATGGATTATCTACCGAAAGACAAAGATCCAAAATGTACACTGGCTAACAAATGCATGTCTTTTGTGAGACCTACCATGATCAGAGGGAAGATTATACAGACGTTTGCATGGGCTGTAAGACCTCTTGTTCCTAAGGTGTTCATTACAGACCAAACATGTACCAAAATGACTGCAACATTAGGTGACCCACTGACAACACCAAAGGAACTCTTGAGAAACGTTAAGAATATGAAACCTGCTTCCGAAAAGATTCATATAATTTAGATATATCTATATTCAAGCAACTCAAAAGGTATAACTATCCCTTACAGATATTTCTGCGGTAAAATTGAATGTAGAAGCATTTTAGTTACTTACCCCCCTTGATCCAAGGAACACCATACCGGCGGCGATTTGTTTGGCAAATAGCACAAGGTCATAGTTGTTCAAATCTTGAGCCCTTCCTTCTCCAAGATAATACCGATCATTAACTCCTCGGCATTTTCTCATGTAACCAAGCAAGTCACCACATGGCAAATGTTCCATGATAAGGATCGGATGAACTTAAAATAAGGAAAAGAAGGAACGAATTAGTAAAAGAAAACAAACAAACAAACAGTTGAAATATTATTGCATATAATAAGAATGACGCCTTAAACTTAGTATGTACCTTGTCTAGTGACGCAGCCAATGAACTTCACTATGTTAAGCTGATTGCTGTCACCAAGAATTTTTCCCAGCTCGATCTCTCTCATCAAACATTTTCTTCCTTCCTCCCCAGCGGTGGCTACAATAAAAAGGAAATACTTTATAACCGGGGAAAAAATTGCTCATTGACGAATTTTCTCGTGCTTAAGAAGCGAAAATTTCGGGTGAGGATTTAGACCTCGCATCTTAAGAGGTCTTTGAAGCCCAGTTGGTGGAGCTCACAATTACAAAAATGGAACCGGTCGGCGAGCGAATCCTTTCGAGGAATTCATATTTTCTTT